AGATTTTCTGCTTTGAACTGGATTCTATGGCATGGTATAGGTAGAGGTTTCCCCTTGACATTACGTCTAGTCAAGTCCAATTGTGTGTGTGTGTGTGGGGGGGGGGGGTGCTCATCTCCATTTCTAAGCCGAAGACACCTCCAAGATCATTGTCCGTAGACACCTCCAAGATCATATGGCTAGCATGACTGAATGGTGCATTGTTACCTTCCTGCCAAAATGGTACCCATTGATCTACTCACATTTGCATGTTTTCGAACTGCAAGACTGGCAGAAGCTAGGGCTAACAGCGGGAGCTCACCCTGACCTGTGGATTTGAACAGCCGACCTTCCAGTCAGCAAGTTCTGCAGCTTAGCGGTTTAACCTGCTGCGCCACTGCAACCCTGCAGTATAGACTCATTAATCTGGTTTAAAGCAGATTCTCTGGATTCAGAAACTGGATTCTGTGGCAATGTAGATTAAGTCTGAGATAGATAGACCAATGGCCCGACTTGCTATAAAACAGCTTCTGATCCATGGCCCTTCTTTGTAAGCGTTATGTTTTATTTATTTAAGTATTCAGCGAGTCCTTTTCTTACATTCTTTTCTTCTAAAGCTCTGTCTTTAACAGGCAAGAGAATTGGCTGCATGTGTCATCAAGTGAAAAAAACAATGGTGCCTGGGAAACTTAAAATCAACATGTCCATTTTCTATTCTGATATAACACTGTTTGCAAACAGTAGAGAAATATTTTTAAAAAGTAAAACACTTTTCATTTTGAGTGGCTTATTAATTTTACCTCCTTGTATTGCTTCCTAACTAACTCTGGCACCCTGTCACACATATTCCTGGCCCCCTTTGAAATCTGCACCAGAATCCAGCAATTGAGAGGAAGCAGGGGAGGAGCCCAACATTCCTCCACTGTTTCCTATTGTAAGAGGATTTCTTGAAAAGCCTTTCAACATCAGACACAGCAGATAGTTGAGGACCAAAAACAAAACAAAAGGTTATGTAGAAGCCAGTAAGTGTAACATCTGGAGCTCCTGCTTGCCAGAACAAACTCTAACTAGTAACTTCTGGAAAGTGTCAAGAGTTTGCTACGCTTGGTGAACTAGAATGAACATGGCCATACAGCCCAAAAAACTCACAGCAACCCACCCAACTAGAATGAGTTTAGAAAGAAGGGAGGGGGAAGGAGAAGCCAAGGAGATTGAGCATGCAGATGGGTGGCCTTGGGGTGCAAACTGATTACCCTGGTTCACTGAAACTTTCAAGTGTATACTGAAAAAAACAACCCTAAAATCAATAATTGACTGGGACGAGTTAAGTAAGAAAAAACATCAGTTCAAGAGACTATGGAAGAAACTATTGTCTTGCTAAAAAAAGATCAAAAGCACAACTGTTGTGTTCCTCCCAACCGTGACAGTGCTTTCATATGCTAGATATTTATTTATTTATTTATTTATTTACAATATTAATATGCCGCCCTTGTCACCCCGAAGGGAACTCAGAGCAGCTTACAAGATATATATACATACAATATATTATATTATTAGCATAGTACAACATCAGTATTAAATATTACTATATTGTACTATACCATAATATTGTAATATTTAGATAATGGATTTGTATCCCATATCCTTCTAGGGTTTTATATGCAATGTCAAAAGGGGCCACAGTAATTCAGCAAATTAAATTTATAGCTGCAGGAATTTGCTGACCGGAAGGTCGGCAGTTCGAAGCCTCGAGTCGAGGTGAGTTCCTGCTCTCAGCCCTAGCTTTTGCCAACCTAGCAGTTCGAAAGCATATAATGCGAATAGATCAATAGGTACCACCTCGGCAGGAAGGTAAAAGGGCATTCCATGCAGACATGCCCGCAACATGGTTGGAGATGTCTATGAACAACAGGTTCCTCGACATGGAAAAATGGAACAAGAGCACTTCCCTATGGCCAGAGTTGAGCATTGCCTCCAGAGATGGAAAAGGAAGGCCTCTACCCATGTCAGTGTATTGTATGTTGTTGTTGTTCACTGTGTAATAGGCATTGAATGTCTGCCTTCTATGTGTATACTGTAATCCGCTCTGAGTCCCTCTGGGGAGATAAAAGGGAATATTAAAAAAGTGTATTATTATTATTATTATTACTACTACTACTACTACTACTACTACTACTACTACAAAGAAACAGAAGTTAAATATACAATCACCTTCTTTCAAGAAAAATGTATGTATATGTAAGGCAATATTTAAAAAGTGTTTTAAAACAAGGTTAACTTTCTCCCTCTGCTTCTATGGTGTGAAGCCTTCTACCTTTGCTGAGTAAGACAGACATTGTAGTGTATCTTTAAATTTTGCTGATGTATGGTGGCCCTATCCCGGGGCGGGGGGGATATATGAGTATATACCTCATATATAGGTCTAGAAATTGTAGTGAAAAAACTAGCTTGACCTATTAATGGTGAGTAGTATACCTTAACCCCTTGAAGGAGCTGGGGGTAGTGACGGCCGACAGGGAGCTGTGGCGTGGGCTGGTCCATGAGGTCACGAAGAGTCGGAGACGACTGAACGAATGAACAACAACAATACCTTAACCTTTATCCAAAAAAGGAATTATCTCCTTCTCTGAACAGAGTGGCAAAAACGAAGAGCTTAATCCACTCTAAGGTCCCTTCTACACTGACATATAAAATCCAGATTATCTGCTCTGAACTGGATTATATGGCAGTGTAGACTCATATAATCCAGTTCAAAACAGCTAATGTGGATTATATGCTTTGATAGTCTGGATGATATGGCAGTGTAGAAGGGACCTAAGAGAACCTAAAAGAAGCACCAACCCCCTCTGGCTTTGCCAAATACCTAGGTGGGGTGATATTGGTGCTTTCCCCTCTCTGTGGAATTACTCTCGGTATATCAATTGGTCATACCAAAATCCATAATTTTAGCCCAAAAACCTTCCCTCAATTTATACATAAGTATATGTGATACCTAGCATGCCTAGCAGCAAACTCAGCCCCCTTCCACACTGCCATATAATTCAGATTATCAAATTAGATAATCCAGAAGAGGCCAATCTTAGTAGAGTGAAGATAAGTATTGCTCTGCTTGGCTATCCAATCGTCCATTATAATCCATCTGATTTATGACCCTGCATGACAACCAGGTCCTGAAAGCAGACGGGAAGTTCACTTGAAGTTTACAGATCTCTTTTTGCCTTGAAACTCTGAGCCTAGGCATCAATCTCTCTTCTAATTTGCCCATGTCACTTTCCGGAAGGAAAACCGGCAGAATGCTTAGTTTCCTCTTTCGCACAGCCTGATGATGACTTCAGGGTTAAAGTAACCTAAAGGAATGCAGGGTGTGATTATTTTGACTATTGTCTATTTAAGATCCCCATGTGCGAAAGACACCAGATCCTGTCTGATCTTTGAATGGGAGACCTCCAACAAATATCTGGTATTGTGTGCTATATTTCAGATGAATGAACTGGCCGAACCACCTCTGAGGTTTCCTTGCCCACAAAAACCCTATGAAATTCATGGAATCAACATTTAGCAGATTATGTAACTACTCTGGATTTGTAACAGGGAAGAGGGATGATGATGTGGTGACGTGATTGGAATGTAGTGTTTTGGACTAAAGAACTCACTGGAGCCACAAAAGTCACTAGTTGATGGTGAAGTAGGAGCTGTAGAGCAGTGGTTCTCAATCTGTGGGTCCCCAGGAGTTTTGGCCTACAACTACCAGAGATCCCAGCCAGTTTACCAGCTGTTAGGCTATCTGGGAGTTGAAGGCCAAAACATCTGGGGACCCACAGGTTGAGAACCACTGCTGTAGAGTATACTTTAGAAAAGGAACTGGCAACACCTCCTCTAAGTATTCCTTGCTTAAGAAACCCCATGAAATTCATGATGTTACCAACAGTTGACCGGCAACTGGAAGATCCATACATGCATATGTCTGGACAATGTGTTTGCAGACTTCTATGAGCCTGTATAATGATATAAGTGAGCAATGGCAAACACTGGGAGAAGTTGCAGATCAACGTAGAGCAGTGGTTCTCAATTTTCCCAATGTTATGACCCCTTAATACAGTTCCTCATGCTGTGGTGACCCCAACCATGGTACTTCATAACTGTAATTTTGCTACTGTTATGAATCGCAACGTAAATATCTGATATGCTTGATGTATTTTCATTCACTGGACCAAATTTGGCACAAATACCTGATACACCCAAATTTGAATACTGGTGGGGTTGGGGTGGGATTGATTTTGACATTTTGGATTTGTAGTTGCTGGGATTTACAGTTCATCTTCAATCAAAGAGCATTCTGACCCCCACCAATGATAGAATTGGGTCAAATTTCCCACACAGAACCCCTATGACCAACAGAAAATAGTTTTCTGATGGTCTTTGGTGACCCTCTGACATCCCCTTCCAACTCCCCTTCAAAGCCAGGGGACATCAAGTTGAAAACAACTGTATTATCCTGTACTTTGATCTGGCAGTGTAGACTCATATAATCCAGCTCTGAGCAGACAATCTGGGATCAGATCATGGGATATAGGACAATGTAGATCCAACTATAGAAGCATCTTTAGTCATGTCCTTATCTACTTTTATGCTTCTCCACTTACAAGGATGTGAGATCAAACAAAACAGAAAATATAGGCTGTTGGCTGCGTTTTTATGGTTTGTAATGTGGCTGGGAAAGAGCTAGCTTTAGTGATTTCAACAGGATAACTATTGTTGTAAATGCATTGCTCAGTCAAGATGATTCTCATAGTCATACACAGAAAGGAACAAGTCATACATATAAAGGAATAAAACAAGAGGAAAAAAAATCAAATACTGTATTATAAATGTAAGAAGACACACCACAGCACTGAGTCAAGAAAGGTCTAAAGGGAGAAGGAACAGCAGAAAAGAAGCACTAGCAGATCCTCACTTTAGGTGAAGAACTCAAAGGAGTTGCCCATTCACTGGTGCAGCCCGTCCTCTCATTGGCAACATACCTTCCTTTTTTTAGACCTTCCTTCGGCTTGCAAGGTCCTAGTGCACTGCTCCACACATTCTGAGAAGCTCAGGTTACTGTGGTCAGCACTGTAATCCAGGTCTGCAAGTCTAGCCAGGGAGAGGATATAGTTACAGGCTATCCGCAAGATGGCCAGTTTGGATAACTTCTGTCCATAGGAATAGCAGGGAACCTAGGGAAGGCAATAATAGTAAATTAGGCAAAACTCAAATCTTTGAATGAACTGATTTTCTTCATAAATTTGTCCTGTCAGTGATAATATTATTTATTTATTTATTTATTTTATTTACGATATTTATAGCTCGCCTTTCTCATCCACACGGAGACTCAAGGCGGGTAACAGGCTGGCACTATTCAATGCCATACATTTCGCAAAAGAGTAATTAGAAAAGTTAAAAACAATCAACATAACAATATAAAAACATATATAAAAACCAATAAAATGTGTACATTCCAGTGTCATCCTGTTAAAATCGATTTCTAGTAACATCGTCTAGCCAGTCTGAGTGCATCATTCATAGTTTCATGTTATCTCTATAGCTGTATGCTCAAAAGCTTGCTCAAAGAGCCAAGTTTTCACCTTCTTTCGGAAAGTCAGGAGGGAGGGGGTTGATCTAATATCCCTGGGGAGGGATTTCCATAGCTAGGGGGCCACCACTGAGAAGGCCCTGTCCCTCATTCCTGCCAATCGCGCTTGTGATGCGGTCGGGACTGAGAACAGGGCCTCCCCAGATGATCTTAAGCTCCTAGATGGTTCATAGGAAGAGATACGTTTGGACAGGTAAGGTGGGCCGGAACTGCTTAGGGCTTTATAGGCCAAAAAATTACACGAAGCATTTCCCTGTGACCACAACAGCTTTTTCTTCAACTGGAATGCATGCATTGCAAGAAAGCAACCTGTGTCACTTGGCAAAATCACATTTGTGTTTGGGAACAACCATCATTTATCTACTGGGAAGTTCTGTGGAGACACTGGTACATGGAGAGCATGTTTTAGAACTAGAGTACGAAGGTTTGAACATGAGCTGTCACATTCACCACAATCCAAGTGGAAAGGACTCCATTCTCGCTGAACAGAATGAGAGCTGCATGAGAGCTGCTACGCCACAGCCCTTGGATATCTTTCATTTACTACAGCCAAGCTTGTGCGGCATGTCATTTTCACATGGCCAGTGACTGCAGACCAGGCGCATAGCTGTTTCATTTCTGATGTACCAGCTGTTCTTTGGGTGCCTCAAAGCTTATCCATATGTTAAGTGAGGCCTGGAGCTAGAGAATAAGGCACCTCTAGTCCCCAGAAGCAAAAAGGTTAAATAGAGACAAAAGACAGTTTATTTTCATGTGGAAAAGAGCAGATATTGGAAATATGTTGTTGTTATTAAATCTCCAACCTTGTTTCTAAAGACTGTACAAACTGTTCAGTCAAATCACAGAGTTGGGGCAAAAGAAATGCGGGAAAAAAAATATCTCAAACCACTTTGAACTGCTATGGGGCACATCTACTCTGATACTGCAATGCGGTGTGGAACAGGTTTGGGAAGAACTGGTTTTGCTGTGCTCCCCGGATTCAAACTGCCATGTTGGAACTGGTTTGAGGCCAGGGTGGTGATTACACTGAATGCAGAATTTGGTCTCAAAGTGCTTCAAATGTGTGTTTTTTTTTTTCATATTTCCTGCAGAAATGCAAATAAGTGCACCTGAAATTGAAAGTGACAGTTAAGAAAAGAAAGAAAGAAAGAAAGAAAGAAAGAAAGAAAGAAAGGGGAAAGTGATAATCAAGAGTGGCGATAATCACTTATTCCTCCCAGGGAGCATGCCGCCTGTGTTTGGGATTATGTACTGTGATTTTAGCATTTTGTGGAGATGATTTCATCCGGGACCTGGGATCTGCTATAGCACATTTAATGGCTTAACTCAAGACTTTCCTGTAACTATTTTAATGTCCTATATCAACTTTAAGGAGCCCCCGGTGGCGCAGTGGGTTAAACCGCTATGCCAGCAGGACTGAAGACTGACAGGTCGCAGTTTTGAATCCGGGGAGAGGCGGATGAACTCCCTCTATCAGCTCCAGCTCCTCATGTGGGGACATGAGAGAAGCCTCCCACAAGGACGATAAAACATCAAATCATCCGGGCGTCCTCTGGGCAACGTCCTTGCAGACGGCCAATTCTCTCACACCAGAAGCAACTTGCAGTTTCTCAGGTCGCTCCTGACATGACAAAAAACAAACAAACAAAAAAACTTTAATCTGTGCTGCAACCTGTTTCGGTGGCATGTGTTTTGTGGAGTGTGGCCATAGTTTCAAGTTATCTTGAAGCTGTATTAAATGATCAGTGTATATGCAATAATAATAATCATCATCATAATCATCATCATAAAATACATCACACAGTCCTAGACGCTTGGGAAGTGTTCGACTTGTGATTTTGTGATACGAAATCCAGCATATAGATATCATTTGCTGTGACATATTGTGTTTTTGTGTCAGTAAAATAATAATAATAATAATAATAATAATAATAATAATAATAATAACAATACACTTTATTTATATTCTGCTCTATCTCCCCAAGGGGACTCAGCGGATTACAACATACATAGATAGGCAAACATTCAACATGCCTTTAATACAGTGAAAATAACAATGGCATACAAATACACAGAACAAAGGTAAAGGCTTCCCCTTTCATCTCCAGCTTCTGGAGGCAATGCACATGGGGAGGTGCTCTTTTTCCATTTCCAAACCAAGGAGCTTGTTGTGTGTAGACCCCTCCTAATGGCATAGCTGCATAGGCATCTTTATTACTTTTCTGCCGAAGCAGTACCTATTGATCTAGTCACATTTGCATTTTTTGAACTGCTAGGTTGGCAGGAGCTAGGGTTAACAGTAGAAGCTCATCCCGCTCCCCGGATTCAAACTGCCAATGTTTAGGTCAGCAGATTCAACAGTTCAATGGTTTAACCCACTGCTCTAATGTGACCCCCATATAGTCTCACTTATCCAATGTAAATGGCAGAATGTTGGATAAGCAAAAATGATGGATAATAATGAGGGAGTAAGGAAAAGCCTATTAAAGCCTATTAAATGCCAAATTACATTATGTTTTTACAAATTAAGCACCAAAACATCATGTTTCATAACAAACTGACAGAAAAAGCAGTTCAATACACGGTAATGTTATGTAGTAATCACTGTATTTACAAATTTAGCACCAAAACATTGCAATATATTGCAACAGCTGTGGATCCAGGTAAGATGCAGACTGCGTTGGATAATACAGAACGTCGGATGAACGAAGGTTGGATAAGTGAGACTCTACTGTATACCCATAAAAACTGTGGTGTGTGACCGCCTTATCCAGGAGCTCACTTCACTGTAAGTAAGTAAGCCTCAGTAAGCTTTATTTCAGAATAAACTCACTAAACTTTATTTCAAAATATGTCCGATTTCCTCCTGTAAAGTACAATCCTATACCAACCGAGTTGGGAGTGAGTTCACACACAGCTTAGATCTGGGAAGTCATCCGTAGAGGAGTGCGCCATGTTTGCATTATCAGTGTCAGCTTATCCATAACTTGCTCAGTTAAAAGGAATCCTGTACAACATTCTCAACAGTGTTATGGCTTATAACTTGAGAGAGACAGCATTATCAAACTGCGGTTCCTCCTGCTTCTCTTGGGGACCTGGTGTGGAAAAACATTGCTTCTGAAACTCCCTATCAATTTCAAAAGGAGCCTGTCTTTGGAGCACAGGGGGCTGGGGTTGGTCTGCTGCCTGAGAAAAAACAAGCCGAAAGCCTTCTTGGATTCATGGAGCAACTTTCACAGCTCTTTGGATCCTGGCCAGTAAATGTGCAACCTCAAAACCACCAGAAATCTTCACATGGTGTAGTTTATATACATATTTTCTTGTAGTGCAAAAGGAAACAACATCCTGGGAACAAATGAAACTCTTGAAGTCCACACAGGTAGAGTTCGGTTTCTCAAGGCCAACTGCAATGGGAGAATGGGGAGGGGAGGTTTTGTTGTTTGATGATTGTTGTTTGCGACTCACAATGTTAGTTGCTTTTTCCCCCAAGACGGTTTCTCACCTTGGCCGAGTGCCTGCCATTTTAGTGCTTCCTTTTTAATAATAAAAAAGGGGAAATTGAAAGAGAAGACTTGCTGGTGAAGTATAAAGCAATATATCCATGGCACACAATGTACATTTGAATCCAAGCTTTTCCAGGCTGCTTAAATTGTTCAGGTAAAAGGGAAGAAGATGGGGAAAACAAATTTAATTTTGGCAATGGGAGAGAGAATAATTTACCGTGACCCAGGGTATATATAGCAGCATTTAAAACATTGGAATTGAACTTGAATTAACACAGTTATGCACATGGTATGCCTGCCTTCGTCTTACGGTAAATTGTACTTTAAGGCTGCAATCTTAAGAATGTTGAACTGCACACTGGAAGGGATGGTGGAGGGGGGTTACCTTTCCTACATGGTAGGGGGTTGGATGTGATGGCCTATGTGGTCTCTCCCAACTGTGTGGTGCTACACTGCCATACAATCCACATTATCTGATTTGAACTGGATTATGTGATTCTACACAGCCATACAGGGGCTGCGGTGGCGTAGGTTAAACTGCTAAATTACAGAACTTGCTGATTGGAAGGTCAGTGGTTTGAAACATCTGCAGGATGGGATGAGCTCCTGCTGTTAGCCCCAGCTTCTGACAACCTAGCAGTTTGAAAACATGCAAATGTGAGCAGATCAATAGGTTTCGCTTCGGCGGGAAGGTAATGCCGCTCCATGCAGTCATGCCGGCCACATGACCTTGGAGGAGCCTACAGACAATGCTGACACTGCTTTCTAATGAGTCAGACCCTTGGTTCACTTCAGGCATGTAGCCAGGGGGAGGGGCTCGGGGGGCTTCAGCCCCCCCCCGAAATTCTCATGGTGGTTTGCGAAAAGGCCTTACTGGTGCATTATTTAAACTGTTATGTTTATTCATATCATGATCTGATCACCATACTCAATATATCCCATATGCATGGGGGTATTGGGGTAATGATACAAAAGGTTTGCTAGGCTAGACCCTCTTTCACTCAGACTCAGCCCCCCCGAAACTCAGCCCCCCCAAAACCCCCCTGAAAAAAATTCAGCCCCCCCCCCAAACGAAATCCTG